CAGAAAAGATTTTATTATACCCTTTTCAAATTTGAATTTTATTTTTTTGAGTGTTGCCAATAATAAATTGAATTTTGCTCCATCACATTGAATTTCTGCAATGATGTAGGAATCTAATCCAGTTACTTCAAGACCAAATAACCCCATTTTGTTAACAACATATCTTTGCCATTGCCAACAGTTTTCCTTTTCTTAGCTGAGATCTTTTGCCTAGTTTCTTGAACAAGCATGACTAAAGGACAGCGTAATCTGGAGTATTGCACTAATTTCCACTTTTGTGGGTTTTGACAAATTATTACTTCAAACCAACAAATTAAAAATTGCAACTGTTACAGCAGCTGTGGCTTGTGCTCTTCTCCAGATTACTAACCTACCATAAAAACATCAAGAGCAAGTATAGTTTTCATGGTGCCCGCTAGCCTGGGAAAGCACGCTTTGTTATTGTTTCCCCCTACTGGTAGGCCGAACCTTTCAACTCTGAAGAGATTGCTTTTAATCCAAAATGCTAAAGGACAGTCTGCATCATTTCCGTGACTGACCTACAGCATACCTTCCCCATTATGAAGCCAGGTATGTTCAATTTTCTGCACATTTCCGATTAAAATAAGGCTTGAATAACATTAGCACATAACTGGGACAATGACTAATAGATCCATGTCAGTCTGGTTTATCAGCCAGTCTGTGAAACAAAAAAAGTGATAGTAATTCACTCCTTCCTTTCTTTTGAATAGCAGTAATTAAAACTAACACCCAGCTGTTGTGTAAGGCTGGCATCAGCTAAGATTTTGCAAGTGACACCTGGCTGCCTATTGCAAACCTCAAAACTTTGGCAGAAGCTGGAAGAGGAAATAGGATCTGCTTGTAATCTGCAGCACTAAGAAGGGAGCAAATGTGATGACTCTGACTGAGGCATCAACAGTAATATTCATGCCAGAGACAACGCCCTTCTACCTCTGCCTCTTCCCCCTGTAATAAAGCAGTGGATGTTTCCAACTTTACCTCCTCTTCTAAAAAAATCAGTCTATGTAGATTTGGTCTCAAATCAAAAACAAATCTGGAAAATAATGAAAGGGATATATAATGGTCTCATTTTCCTAAGGCTAATGTCTTCCAGGGATGTGTGATCTAAAATGTGTTTATGAAATTTGTCATATTTCCAAGAACATATATATAAAATGTTTAGAGGGGGTGGATTCCCCAGGCTTTCATTTAGCATGATTTTTCCAGACCAGAAAGGAATGTTTCAATTTTCCTTGCCTGCCATGTGCTTGGTAAAAAACAGTTAGGAAAAATGGAAGAAGAGCTGTAGACCCCTGATCTTTCATACCTTCACATAGTCCAGGTTACTTATGATGGTGTAATTATCTGTTGGCACACAGACATGCATCATCTGGTTTTACCTTCAAAACTCTGGAGGGGGACTTTTCTGTGTTACCAAAACCTTTGAGGAAAGATAGTTCTGACTGTCATTAGCACTACCCTTAAACTAGCTAATTTATCAACAAAGAATGCATATCTGCAATGCTGCATATAGGTAAGTGCTAAAAACGTCAGTCTGGCAGTCTCACAAACATACTGCATCTGGGCAGTACCCATCTACTTCATTACCTATATAGTCCTTTCCAGTTAATAAAAGAAGAAAGCAAAATGGCTAAACCAAGCTGTTTACAAGTTTTCCTAAAATATCATCCTTCTTTTCTGGGGGATCAGAAGTGGGTGCTCAGCATAAAGAGTTTTTTGCATGCTGCCTCCTGAAACCTACATGTAATGATTATATTTTATTTTAAAACTGCAATTTGCGACTGAAAGTAATATGAAAGGTCAATAAGTCTTCTCAGAGGTATTTTAGGATTCAGTCATTACCTCAGAAATGAGCTTCCTGACCAAATATCCAAGATAATACTTACATTACAAGGAAAACACTAAATTACATTAAAGCAAAAAATTATTTGGAATAATAATGAAGGGTTTCTGGCTCTGCTCTCATACTGCTTTTAGAGCAGTAGAGTTTTCCTGATGACCTCAGTGAAGTTCCTCAAGGACTATGGGGTGTACATTTGAAAAGTGTCACACTCCAGGTGACTGAGATGTCCTTTACCCACCTCAGATGCAGCTGAGATGGTCCCAAATCCATCTGACCTCCCTTTTGGCACTGATGTGAGTGGAGCTGTGCACGTGCTTCCTTTGTAGTTGGTGGAAACTGCCAAATACCTCCAGTCTGTCTAGCTAAAATTTATGCTGTCTTCTGGAAGTAGCTGTCTTGACTCTTCAAACTCAAGATAAATGGGGTGAACATAAGCTGTAAGGCTAACAAATGCTTGCACAAATCGTGCTGGCTGGGTAGAGGATGGATTTCTTTCCTAAAGAATCATTTGAAGTTCTTACACTTTTTGGTAGTTTAATATGCAGGATGTAAAGGTGTCTTCAGACGGTGGAACTGAATATACATCGCTGAAATCTGAACCATCTGTCATGTCTGAAGCACCAGCTTCATGTCATGTGAGCCACCAGGAGGCATTTCATCTTGAATGTGGTCAGGACTTGCAAACGCCTTACACTAACTTCACATACATCAGAAAACCTGAATTGTGTCAAGGTGATTTCATTTGCAGGCTAAAAGCATCCTAGTGGGTTACTAGGACATACAATATTTCTTCATGGAAGTCACAGAAAATTCCTTGTTCCACAATATCCAGATCCCAAGCTTTTGAAGAGGTTCAACCTGAGGCTGTACTCAGATCTCCATTCCTAGCTATTACAGCAAGACAAAGAAACACATAGCCCAGAGGTACATCTGACTATCCTAAACTTAGTGTATACTGAGCAGTTTCCTTAATATCTTGCCAAGTCTTGTCTCCTGGCAGGCTTTCCCAAGGAAAATTTTATATTGACTTACATTTGATACTAACCATATAAACATTTTTCTTGACAAGAGAGAGCATTTTAGCCTGTCTGGAAATTCTCTTTTGAATAGTGGAAAATTTGGTTTCCCAGTCCATCGCTGCCCTGCTAATAATCACCTCCTTCAATTATTATTTGCTGTGAGAAAAGTATATTCAAATGTGTGGAAAGAGAGACAGAATTCCAAAGAGAGGAGAGAATTTGATATTTTAAGGGATAACTAGTGTTTTATCAGTCTCTCTGTGTAACCTCATCCCTGTAAGTAGTATGGAAGTTAGCCCAGTAAGGAAATGTTACTACACCATGAAACAGGAATGTGGCAGAGAAATGAGAATACTCCCTCACACTTCGTTTGTATATTGTTCTTCTACCCAAAATTTACCATTTCTTGAGTCAAATATTTGTTGCACTTCAGAAATGACCAGGGATATGACCAGTGTGAGGGAAAG